CCTAATATATGGTCTCTCCTAGAAAATGCTACATGTGCTGATGAGAACAATGTATATTCTGCAGCTGTTAGATGGAATGTCCTGTAAATGTTAGGTCCATTTGCTCAACAGTGTGTCAACTCCCATGTATCTTTATTGATTTTTTTGTCTGGATTATGTGTCCATTGATGAGAGTGGGGTGTTCAAGCCACATCCTATTATTTTATTGGAGTCTCTTTCCCTTTTGGTCTAATAGTATTTTCTGTATATATGTATTTTGCATATATATTTAAGATTGTTATGTCTTTTTGCTGAATTGAACCTTTTAACAAAATATGTCCTTCTTTACCTCTTTTGAAGGGATTTGATTTAAAGTTTTTTATCTGATCAGGATAGCTATGCCTGCTTATCTTTTTCCAACCCTTTATGTTCAGTCTGTATGTATCTTTGTGAAGTGAGTTTCTGTGTGCAGCATATAGTGGTGGCATGGTTTGTTTTTATCTCAGCCAACTTAAGTCTTTTAGTTAATGATTTTAATCCATTTACATTCAAGGTTAGTATTGACATATAAGAACCTGTCCTTTCATTGAGTGGATGATTCTACCTGCTCTGTTAAGTGTATTTGGTGGTGTCATGTGTTTACTTTTTTTAAGATTTATTTATTTTATTGAAAAGGCAGAGTTAGAGAGGGAGGGATGGAGATCCTCCATCCGCTGGTTCACTCCCCGAATGGCCACAACTTCCAGAGCTGGGCCTGACACCAGGAGCCAGAAGCTTACTCCGGGTCTCTTATGTGGTTGATAGGGGCCCAAGCACTTGGGCCTTCCTCTGCTGCCTCTCCAGGCACACTAGCAGGGAGCTGGATCAGAAGTGGAGCAGCTGGGATGTGAACTGGCACCCACACAGGGTGTCAGTGCTGAAGGCAGCTTAACCCACTGCACCACAGTGCTGGCCCCCACATTTTGAATTTTGATGTCCAGTTTACCTCTTTCTATATTGCCTTCCTCAACATATTAATGTGGTTATTATTTTGTCTTCATACTATAGATTTGAATAATTACCTCATTTATAATATTAGAACAATTCTCAGTTTTCTTAAAAGTATTTTTACCAGTCAGTATTCTACCTTTGGATATTTTCTTAATCATTTTGGATCTTTCAGTTTTAAAAACTCCTTTTTAGCATTTCTTGTAAGACAGGCCTGGTGGAGACAAATTTTCTCAGCTTTTATTTGTCTAGGGATGCCTTTCTCCCTCCTATCTAAAGGACAGCTTTACTGAGTACAGCATTGTTGGCCAGCAGTACTTCTGTTCTGTCAGAGTCTCGTCTCACTCCCCTCCTGGCTTGTAAGATCGCTGCTGAGTGGTGAATTGGAACACTCTCATGTATTGGATCATTCTTTTCTTTTGGAGCAGACATGGTTGAAGTGAATCGGACTGGTGACCTCTGATCATCTTGTATCTGGTAGTTTTATGTTTCTCTAGGTTTGGGAAATCTTTTGTTACTATTTCTTAGAATATGCTTTCTACCCTTTTGGCATTCTCAAGTTCCTCTTGAACCCCACTAACTTGGCTATGTTTTTCTCCCAAAGTTCCTGTAAACTTCTTTCATTTCTTTTTTTCTTCCTCCTGTGTATTTAAAATAGCTATCTTTAAGATTACTCTTTCCTACTGCTCGATTTGCTCTGTTGTTGATGCATTGTATTGTGTGTTTAATATTGGTTGAGGAATTTTGCTGTTGAGTATTAAATCATTCTGGGGCCAGCACAGTGGCATAGCGGGTAAAGCCGCCACCTGCAGTGCCAGCATCCCGTATGGGTGCCAGTTTGAGTCCTGGCTGATCCATATCCAATCCAACTCTCTGCTATGGCCTGGGAAAGCAGTAGATGACCCAAGTCTTTAGGCCCCTGCACCCACTTGGGAGACCTGGAGGAGGCTCCTGCTCCTGGCTTTGGATTGGCCCAGCTCTGGCTGTTGTGGCCAACTGGGGAGAGAACCAGCGGATGGAAGACCCCACCCCCACCCCCGCCTCTCTTACTCCCTCTCTGTAACTCTTTGAAGTAAATAAGTCTTAAAAAATCATTCTTCTGTGTTCCTTTAACATTCATTGAATTTCCTTAAACAACTTTTTTTTTTTTTAATTATTTGTATTTATTTGGAAGTCAGTTACAGAGGGAGACACCGAGAGAGCCCTTCCATCTGCTGGCTCACTCCTCAAATGTCCACTATGGCCATTGCTGGACCAGGTTGAAGCCAGGAACTTCTTAGTCAGGGATCCAGACACTGGACTTCTTGCATTGCTTTTCCCAAGCCATTAGCAGTGAGCTGGATCAGCAGTGGAGCAGCCGGAACATGAACTGGCACCCATATTGGATGCTGGCATCATGGGCAGTGGCTTTACGCACTATGCCACAGTGCCAGCCATAACTATTTTAAATTCTTCATCTGAGCTTTTGAAAGTTTCCTTTCCTATGTGGTTGTTTTTTGGCAGCTATTCTGTTTATTAAGCGAGATCATTGTTCCTTTAAAATTCTTGGTGCTTCTTGGTGTACATTGTTATCTGCAGACTGAGAGTAGCTATTTTTTCCAGTGTTTATAATCTGGCTTGCTTTGTTACTGTCCTTCAAGAAATCCTAAGCACTTTTCCCCTGAGGCCTGTGGACACCATTTCAGCACTAGATGGTGCCCTACATTAAGGTTTCCTACAAGTTCACTATTTATGTCCTGCCAGTGTGCCAGTGTTTCAGTCTCAGAGGTGCCCCTAGCTCAGATTCGTCCCAAATCTGCAGTTGTGATGTTCAGAATGAACCGGAGAAGTGTCTAAAAAGTGAGTAGTTTGTCCTTACTGGTGGGGCCGGGATAGGACGACTCCTAGTCCTCGCCACTAACGCAACAATGCTGCCAAGACCAGCACAGCACACGTGTGAGACCAAAGCCTACGCTACACAAATACTCTCTGCTGATGAGGAAGACTTAAAGCCCAAGGCTGCTGAGGTGAGCCAGGTGAGGCGACTGGAATATACGTCCAATCAGCTGGGGGCACCATGCTCCATTTGCTATGGGGCAGTTCCAGAATCTGTCAAACTGGTCTGGGGGCAGGGGCTCTGTCCAGCACTAGTTTTTAGAGTGGCTGGCCTGGTACTGGCTTTCAAGTCTAGTTTCTTGATTCTAACTCCCTGAAGTGGGAGGCTGTGCTACTTGGGGGGAGTGATGCCACAGGCAACTCTTTCCTTCCTGATTTCATGTATTTTTTATACCAAAACCAGATATTAAGGTTTCTCATTTGGTTTTCTATGTCTGTGCAGGTGACTTGGCATGTAAAGCTGTTCATATTGGTGTCTCTGTGGGGAGACCATTGCTAGAGCATCTACTCAGCCAACAACTTCCTCTGTCCTGCTGTCAGTGATATTCTGTCTTGAAAAAAAGTGGTTCTAAAGCTTGAAAGCTTTTGTCCTGTATCTTGAACATCTTTGCTCATCTCAATTTTGGCATCCAATGATTCTCTCTGCCCCACCTTCATTTAAGTTGAGATCTGATTCCTGATATTTAAAATGATTTTTTAAATAAAAATTGAGAGCTTTTCCTATTATGAGACTTATCCCAGTTTCCACATACTTTGGCTGCCATGGGTGGGGCATGGGCCATAGTTTTTTTCCTTTGCTTTCCCCTGTAGTGTTTAGCTGCTGTGAGCCATTGTCTTCTAAAACTCCTCCCTCCTGCGTGGCTACTATGTTTAGGTCCTAGGCCAGGGGAGAGGAGGCTTTCCCTGAAACTTTGTCTGCAGCCATAGGCAATTGAGGTTGCTGATTTCTTCAGCTGCAGGCTGGGGTCTAGCAGGTGAAGAGAAAAGCCAGGGCCCTAACCACATGATTCCTAGCTGACCGGCATTCCTCTCTTCCCACTTCAGAATCTTAGGTTTGTTTTACATGTAATGCAAAGGATTCCTAGTTGTAGCCAAGGCATAAATTTTTTTTTTTTTTTTAATAGGCAGAGTCAGAGTCAGAGAAAGGTCTTCCTTCTGTTGTTCACCCCCAAATGGCTGCCACGGCCGGCACTGCGCTGATCTGAAGCCAGGAGCTTCCTTCTGGTCTCCCATGTGGGTGCGGGGCCCAAGTACTTGGGCCATCCTCCACTGCCCTCCCGAGCCACAGCAGAGAGCTGGGCTGGAAGAGGAGCAACTGGGACAGAACTGGTGCCCATATGGGATGCTGGCGCCACAGGCAGAGGATTAGCCTAGTGAGCCACAGTGCCCGCAGTTGTAGCCAAGGCATAGGTTTTGAATTAGAATACAGTCACTGGGCCTGAAGCGCTGGCATCCCATATGGGCACCAGTTTGAGACGCGGCTGCTCCACTTCTTATCCAGCTCTCTGCTACAGCCTGGGAAAGCAGTAGAAGATGGCCCACGTCCTTGGGCACCTGCACCCACATGGGAGACTCAGAAGAAGCTCCTGGCTTCGGATCAGCACAGCTGTAGCCATTGTGGCCAATTGGGGAATGAACCATTGGATGGAAGACCTCTCCCTCTCTCTCTGCCTCTCCAGTAAAATAAATAATTTTTGAAAAAAAAAAAAAAGTCACCCTGTACATCTGTTTGACGTCCGTGTTCTTAGTGGTGGAAGGGGAGGACAGAATTTCTAGATGGTAGGGGCTCTTTCTGCTATTGTTTCACTCACGCAGTTTGTCTGAAGTGGGGCATAACTATGGCCACAGCAGTCAATGCATATATCTACTTGTAAAAGATTTTACAAGCTTGATAACCAGTACAGTAGACAGCATGATTATCTTATGGATATTGTCAATGCTTTTAAAGTATCTTTGATAAAGAAATTGAAAGACTACTTGGAGACAACAGTTAAATATCATTAACTACCAATAAAATATCTATGGGATTTTAGAAATAAAACAGTCTGGTATTGTATGTCCATCTAAGTTGTATATGAATGAACCATGTGTACGCATATATCTACACATGTATGCTAATAATACTCAAATTTATGAGGTTTTTGTTCTTTTGCATGTAGCTTCTCTGTATACAGACTGGTGAAAAAAATCATCAGAGATAATCAACAAAACTTCAAACCTAAACTTGATAAGCAAAATAAGAAACTGCTGTGTGCAAAGTGCAAAGCCTTGGCATGTTACACATCTGAGATAAGAATGGTAAAGGTAAGCATCTTCTTGCAAAGAACCTGGTCATGTTTGATCACTAGTTCAAACTGTTAGTGACATATTTATATTACTATCACTACTTCTGTTATGCTGTCACCCATGTATTTAAGTAACAAGAGTAAAAAAACTCAACCTTCAGAAATAGTATTTGGTTGCTTTCGAGCAATGTGAGCAAGATGGCTGACTCTAGGTGCCTGGTGTGCTTCCTTGCACAAAAAAGGGCCAAAACTGAGCATTTAAAGATGCAACAGAGATGCCTCTATGCACAAAGACACAGGATGGCTTTTTTTTCTAAAGAGGTAGAGACAGAGAGGTCTTCTATCTGTTGGTTCACTCCCCAGATGGCTGCAACAGCTGGAGATGCACCAAGCAGAAGCCAGGAGCTTCTTCTGGGTCCCCCACATGGGTGCAGGGGTCCAAGGACTTCGGCCATCTTCTACTGCTTTCCCAGGCCATAGCAGAGAACTGGATAGGAAGAGGAGCAGCCTGGACTTGATTCCAGCATCCATATTGGATGCCGGCGCTTCAGGCCAGGGCATTAGCCTGTTGTGCCACAGCATTGGCCCAGAATGGCCTTTTAAAGCAGGGAAGGATGCAAGCAGCACCTACCATCCCCCATCTCCCCAGTTGAAATTAACCCTGCCTGAACCAGGACTGGAGTGTCTGTGGTGGGGAATGGGTGAGCAGCATGTCTGTAGTGGTCCCCACTAATGCCACGGACACCTGACACATTTGCTGCCAGAGGAGCCTGCTAAGGAATAATTTGAATTACCTAGAGGGAAAAAGGCAGCTAACTAAAGACTTACTGAGATATGAGAGTACATTGAAATTAGGAAGATAATTCTTGTTATTAATGAGAGATTCGGCAAAAGGATAAAAGAATGAGAAATAATTCAATAAGCTGGGATAGGTGGTGTGGCTCAATGGTTAAGCTGCCATTTGGGATGCCCACATGGCCAGTTCAAGTCCTGGCTACTCTGCTTCTGATCCAGCTCTCTCTTGATGCACCTGAGAAACAGCAGCTCAAATATCTGATTCTTGTCACAGATGTAGATGGAGTTCTTGGGTCTTGGCTTCAGTTGCCATTTGAGGGATGACCCAAGGGATGGAAGGTCTGTCTCATTCTACCTTTCAAATAAGTCTAAAAAAATTTAAAGTTAATGGAATTTTAAAAAGTTTGAAGCCATGATGATGAAGCCATGATCAGGCAGAATTTGAGCCTTTTGAAATAACCAATCATAAAAAGCATCAAGTAGAAACACATTTAAAAAAGCAAGGAAAACCTTCAAGATGTAGGAGACACTGTTAACCAGACAAGCCTTCACATATGGGTGTTTCAGAGGGGAAAGCAGCATAAAAAACCATTAAATTATTTACTGAAAACTTTCCAAATCTTGGCAAAGATATAGACTTCCAGGCCTAGAAAGCTCAAGTGACCTCTTAGATTCAACTGGGCATCCTCTCAAAACCCAGATGAGGTGTCAGCTTATCTTAGAATGGCTATTACAAAAAAGGCAATAAATAAATGTTGCCAAGGATCTGACAAAGGATCTCGCATTCACTGCTTTTGAAATGTAACTTAGTACAGCTATTATTTAAAATGGTCTAGAGATTCATAAAAAAATAAAAACCACCATATGATCCAGCTGGTCCCACTACTAGGTGTATATATATGTGTGTGTGTGTGTGTGTATATATATATATATTTATTTATTTATTTATTGAGGAGGCAAAGAGAAAGCTCTTCATTCTGCTGGTTCACTCATGAAATGTCTGCAACAGCCAGGGCTAAGCCAGGCCAAAGCCAGGAGCCCGGAGCTTCTTCTGGGTCTCCCATGTAGGTGCAGGGTCTCAAGCACTTGGGCCATCTTTGTCTGCTTTCCCAGGCGCATTAGTAGAGAGCTGAATTGGAAGAGAAGCAGCCAGACATGAACTGGTGCCCATATGGGATTCAGGCACCTCAGGCAGAGGCTCAACCTCATGTGCCGCAGTGCCGGCCCCCTACTGGGTATATTTTCTACAGGACATAAATCAGTATATCAGAGACATACCTGCATATTCATAATAGCCAAGAAACAGACACACCAAGGTATGTGTGGATAGGTGAATGGCTAAAAAAAAGTGTTGGGGCTGTGTGTCTGTATAAAGAACATGGGTAATTCAGAGTTTGTGGGAAGAGAACTTATTTTCCATGAATGTACTTTGATGTACTTTTATATCTATTAATTAGAATATTATTCTACCATGAAAAGTGAAATCCTGTCATTCCCAGTGGCATGGAGGGGACTGTGGGACATTATGTTAGGAGACAATGTGCCAGAGCCCGAAAGATCAATACCATATTGTGTGTACACTAAAGATGATTTAATAGAAGCTGAGTACAGAATAGTGATCACTAAATATAAATGCAGGGGAAGAAGTCGGAGAACAGATATCAAATATAGTGAAAAGGAGTTTAGTGTTCCCCAGTGTAGCAGGGTGACTGCAGTTTACAATTACATTTCTTATAAAGACCTAGAAGAGGTGTTTGAAGGTTGACCCTGCAAAGAAGTGATATTTGAGATAGAAGTCAGACACAACATGCATGTTATCAGATTGTCACTGTACCCTAGGAATGTTATATAAATCAAAAACTGTCACCACTTATATAGCCATTAAAAACAATGGTTATGCTCAATACGAGGTAGTGTTCTCAGAGCCTGAACAGATAAGTGATCTTTAAATAAGAATGGTAAAATCTGCAGTGTAGCTGGTAGTAATGTAAGATGTTAGCACTTGGGCAAAGCGGGCCGACAGTGTACAGGAATTTGCAGTGACTGTGCTGGCTTCGGCAGCACATATACTAAAATTGGAAAGAACTTGCAGTGACCACTTTCTAAGTTTTCTGCAAGTTTACTCTTAAGTAAAATTTATTTAAAAATGTATCACACTTATATGTAGAATAAAACACTGCGTGAAACCTAATGGTAATTTTTGAAAAATCTGAATACAAAACTGTAAATGTTGTTTATAGCTCTGTAAAACAGCAGCAGCACAACCACCAGAAAAAAAAAATTCAAAGTCCATATATATTTTCCACCTGCTATGCCATGACACGGCCCCCTACGTCTGTATAGAAGAGGAAGATATGCCAGGGCCGGCGCCGCGGCTCACTAGGAGGCTAATCCTCCCCTAGCCGTCGCCGGCCACAGCGGGTTCTAGTCCCGGTCGGGGCGCCGGATTCTGTCCCGGTTGCCCCTCTTCCAGGCCACCCTCTGCTGTGGCCAGGGGAGTGCAGTGGAGGATGGCCCAGGTGCTTGGCCCTGCACCCATGGGAGACCAGAAAAAGCACCTGGCTCCTGGCTCCTGCCATCGGATCAGCGCGGTGCGCCGGCCGCAGCGCGCCTGCCGCGGCGGCCATTGGAGGGTGAACCAACGGCAAAAGGAAGACCTTTCTCTCTGTCTCTCTCTCTCACTGTCCACTCTGCCTGTCAAAAAAAAAAAAAAAAAAAAAAAGAAAGAGGAAATATGCCAAAATATGAAAATATTTTAGTGATGTGATTCCACATGGTTTTTCTATTTCACAAATATTCTTTTTGGATATGGCTTGCTTTATAATGAACACAAAGTACATCTGTATTTTTAACATACAGCATTTGTGGGTTGGCTTTTTTTTTTTTTAAATTTTTTGATCAAAGTTTAGAAAGTTTCCTAAAGTTGAAAGTCAGGTGTCAGTCTGCCACTGGCCCATGGTGAGCAGGTGGAGTTGGGGGTGGGGGGGCAGTGATGTGGCATTACTTTCGGGTCCTGTTTGGTCCTCAGAGAGTTGCCATGGGTCCCCCTGGACCCACAACATATTGGGAGGGATGCTGGCACCTTCCCTCACCCTCACCCTCACCCTCACCCTCACAAGTCTGCATGTTTAGCTCTTGACAATCTGGACAACTTTTCCTATTGAAAATGGCCCTCTTAAGATAGGCTTTGCTGAAGGAGCGGTAAATTGGAAAATGTTCCCGTGCAGTTTACCGTGGACAGCAGGTGGAACCCGTGTACACCTCCGTCCCTGGTCCCCTTTAGATGTTGTCGGCCCTGTGCATTTCTTCCTGGGTTACCTGTGTACTGCCCGGTCCTCTTCCTCTCATTTGCCCCCCCCCCCCCCCTGGGCCACCTCTCTACCACCTCCTCCCCACCAGCTTGTGTGCTCCTAAAATCTGGCTTTCAGATGAGTAATTCCTTCTCTCTCTCTCTCCAGGTCTAACACATGTAGGATTTCGATGTGCGCCTCATTTAGATTACTCTGGGCTTGTGGGTTTTTAGTATCAGTTACATACTGGTTCTAAGGTTCTCTGTGTGCATTTGACCCCCGCATTCATTTTAGGATTCCCATTACACTGTGAGTTTGGAGAGACTTGTAAGAAGTGCTTTGTGACCAGACCACAACCCCAGACCAAAGAGTGGGGGGATTTGAACAAGATAGGGAAGATATTCGGTGGCGCAGACACTGCAGCCATGACTGGGAATCCGTGCAAAGGTCAATGCTTTTGAGATTCCATTAATCAAGATTCAGAGTTTTGTGGTGGAGAACTGTGACTGGAAAACAGATGTGTCCCTCAAAGTGGAAGGACTTTAATTTTGAGAAGATACCATTTAATCCTGAAGAACTGTCTGAATGACCTGAGGGCCTCAGACTTCAACTATAGAATAGGCAACTTTAAAGAAATAAGTATAATTGGCCATGGACTGCTGTACTACTTGGAAGATATTTTACATAATGCTGACCTAAATATCACGTAATTTCACTTACTGTTTAACAGATTGAACTGTATCAGAGTACTTACAGCTTATGGAAAATGGAATTAAAGATGTTTGTTTTGGTGCAAAAGTTTTGAAATCTGCTTTCAAGGAATGTTCAAAAAATTCATGGTATGAAACTATACATGGATTTCAGGTTTTTTTCGGCAGCAAAGCATCTTTTAATTCCGTTTTTGCAAGAACGTTTTGTAATATCCTTGTACATGAAAAATGTGAGTGAGTCA